GATACTAAAACTCATTATACTTGAGTTTAAATACTCAAATCTACCCCCATTAACACTATTTAAGTCAATAAATTTAGACACATAACCTATATAGATCGAAATCCCACTTTTACTATTAAACCTTAACCATAAACTCATAAACGTGGAAGAAATGGAGAGATTAATGAGTGTAATACTTACCTTGAATGTTTGTAGCCTTTAAAATATTCCCGAAGTCATCCCTAAGTAAACCTTAACAGAGCATTGGCGTGCTTCTTCTTTCTCTCTTTTCTCTTATCTCTACTTCTATCTCATTTATGTCTAATAAATTATAGAAAATTGTCATGCGCCACGGCGGACGCACAATGCACTGTGACGCATGGCACAAAGAGGTCCTCCTTCGCTCAAAAATGGTTGTGCACTATGGCTAATGATCTATGCATCGCGGTGTGTTGCACAGCAACTTCAACTCTTCCTTTTCTTCTCCTTTCGATGCTCAGGTGGCCCGCCTCGATACCAGACCCATAACTAGGGCTGAAATACTATCAAATATAACCATTAGACCTCTTTAGTCACACACCACTTCAACTTACTTAATTATTCTAATTAGGTTTAATTAATCAGAGAATTAAAATTCAAGATGTTACAAGAGATATGATGGACGTGTACACATGAATTTGATTTAGTTAGTTAAATATTAAAATCAATTAGTTAGTTAGAGGAGATATATTCATGGATCAGTTTATACAAAGCATTGTGATAATATATTTGTTTTGTGGATAACAAAAAAAATCACCTCTAATTGATTGTGTGAATAGGCCATATTCCAGAGTATTCAAAAACCTCATCCATAATTTATGCAAATTGTATTTTTCATGGCCATTAGGTAAATTTACTCATTTTACTTTTACTAACATGCTTATCCTAAAATTTTAAAGTCATTGTATAAGTATTAGTACATCTAATATATTGGAAACACGCAGCATTTAATTGATTGCATCAATTGAGGTGAACATCAGTTGGATTGTTCCAAGCAACCCATTTTTTAAAAAAATGATAATAAAATTTCTCTAAATTATATAAACGATAATTTGATCTCTCAAAATGATATAATTGTGTTGAAGTCTCTAGAAACTTTTCTGTCATTAATGAATTAATATAAATAATCAAATTGCTCTTGATTCATTACATTGTTGAAGTATAGCAAATAATAAATGATGAGGACAAGTTTTGTTTAAATAATTACAACTTTTCTTCTTAAAATTATAAGTTTGCATTTTAAATTCTTGATATTCCCAAAGTGTTGCAAATAACAAGTACCAATTATAAGTTTTATTTAAATAATTATAACTTTTTTTCTTAAAATCACAAGAATGTAATAGAATATCACAAGTTTCCATTTCAAATTCTTGATATTCCTAAAGTATTGCAAATAACAAGTGCCAATCATAAATTTTATTTAAATAATCAAAACTTTTTTTAAATTGCAAGAATGCAACCAAAAATCACAAATTCACTTGTTGACAAGAATATTTGTTACACTTTTCGAATATCAAGAATTAGACATGCAAACTTGTGATTTTTTGTTGCATTCTTGCGATTTTAAGAATGATAGTTGTGATTATTTAAACAAAACTTGTGATTGGCACTTGTTATTTGCTACACTTTAGCAATATATTCATTAATTCATTTAGATTAATTCATTAATGACAATTAAATTTTTAAAGACTTCAATGTGATTATGTTTTGTTTTGAGTGAAAAATGATTCAATAAATTAAAGGAAAGTACTAAAGGGAATCTGGTTTACAAATACTAGATCTCAGTGTGCTCAAAATACATTAAAATGGTAAAACCCAAGCAGTTAAGTGGGAATAGGAAATATGAAGGGTTCCTTAAAGTTGATAGTGTGATTAGTAGGGGTGATGACTTTATTAACCAGATTGACTACATTGAAGCATTCATTGTTAAAGATGCATTGATTTCTTGTATGCCAAAACTTCCAACACATAAGTCCAAAAGTTGTGAGCCATGTCAAGAAGGTGTTGTGAGGATGAAGGTTGAGGATCAGCCAGTCATACATTTGCATGGTAATAAGCTTAGGGAGTTCATAGTCATAGACAATGAGATTCCACCAATTTGATGCAAAGGGGTATCAACAAAGAACATAGTCAAGATCTTCAATCGATCAATTACAAGCGGTATCATGGATCATATGTCTCATGTGCCTTTCCCTATTGGTGAGTAGTTTATTCCTCAAAGCTAGCCATAAAAAGGTACGAACTCATTAGGCTCCCTTCCATTTCCAAGCTACGTTCTATCCAACATTCTCTTCATCCCATTGATTAGAAGCTAGTAATTGGTATGTAGAGGAAACAATACAAGTTCTAGAACTAGTGGGGCTCCAATAGCAGTTGGGTTGATTAGGATCAATATGGATAGGGTTCACAGTATTAATTTCTTGAAGAATCTCCTGTAGAAGGAGATGTTAGAATGAATTCCAGTTCCAGGATCCATTCAATCTCAAGTAATTTGAGATAGGCTTGTCTAAATTAGTAGACGATAAAGGTTCAAAGGTAAGGCAATGCAAAGGCCCTAAATCTCCAACCCAGTAATCTCTCCAAAACTTGAGGTCATTCACAGTAGAAGGGACCCATTTCAAGCCTAAGTCAATGTTATCCTATATGTTAGTCAGGCTTCGCCAAAGATAAGAGTATGATCTTTTCCTTTTCTTGATTGTTGCCCTATCTTTCCAGTTATACTTTACTTTAATTATTTTAACCTAAAAGAGATTTGGTTGTGAGGTAATAGAGAATGCAAGTTTTATAAGAAAAACATTATTGAGAGTTTCAAGATCTTTAAGCCCACAACCTCCATCTTCCTTTAGTTGACAAAGTTTTTTCCAATTAACAAGGTGAATTGCCCTATGTTATGTAGTAATACCCCAAATAAAGTCTCTTATTAAGGTGGCAATTTTAAAGTAGGTTGAGTGGGTGATCTTGGTTGATTGCATTGCATACATAGGAATAGTTGAGAGGATAGATTGGGTGAGTGTAATGCAACCAGCAAGGGACAAAGATTTGGCTTTCCATCTAAACAATTTCCTTTAAATCTTTTCCTCTAAATAACTATAAGTGTCTTTTGTGACTCTACCATGTAATAAAAGGAACTGCCAAGTATTTACCTAGGTTATCAATATGTTGAAAACCTAGCCTAGTACATAACAGAGCTATATCCCTAGTTGAAACATTTTTAGAAAAGAAGACCTTTGTTTTTGCTTGGTTGACCTGATGTCCTGTAGCTTGGCAAAAGTTATTCATAATACACTTGATGATGTTAACCTGTTGGAGAGTAGTAGTATTAAAAAGGACTAAATTATCAACAAAAAATAAATGAGAAAGGGGAATACCTTGCCTTCCCATCTTGATGGGTTGCCAAGTTCCTTCAACCATTGCATTGTTGATTGTTTGCCAGAGCCTTTCCATGCACAAAACAAAGATATAAGGAGACAGAGGGTCACCTTGATAGATGCCCTGAGCTGATTAGAAAGGGGTGGAGGGTTTTCATTCCAAATGATTTGCATAGTAGTGGATATGACACAGCGTATTATAACTTTTATTAGTCTATCTGGGATACCAACATCGGTTGGAGCGTCTTCAATAAAGTCCCAATGCAATCGATCAAAAGCTTTTTCCATATCAACTTTAATAGCCATCCATCCTTGCTTGTCCTTCTTCCTCCTTATAAAATGTATGACTTCCTGGGCAATAATTACATTCTCAGTAATGTTTCTACTATGGATGAAGCTAGTCTAGCAGGGTGAAGTAAACATGGGGCATAAATTCTTTGAAACAATTGGCGATGATTTTGGTGATAGTTTTGTTGACCACATTACATAAGTTGATAGGCCAGAATTCCTTGATGGATTGAGGTTGCTTTAACTAATTAGGGATAATTTTGTAGACCACATTGTTATTATGTTATTTTGAGAGATTAAAATTGTTATTTATATCATTCGGAGGAATTTTATTATTGTTTTCCTTTTTTTAAAATTTGATCTAAACAATCCATTTCATTAACTCAGTGATACACTATAATATAATATGGTATAGAAAAAATTAATCATTTAGTTCTTGTAGTTTTAACTTCCTATAACTCAGTTCCCGAACTTTAACTCGTTATAACTCAATTTTTAAATTTTTAACTTAGTTGTAAATTAATTCTTGAACTTTGCCTCTTGCTTAGTCCTTGAAGTTTTAACCTCTTAAATATTGATCCATTTATTTTAAGAAATAAAATTACAAATATTAGTAATAAATTTTAAAATATTTTTAATCTCTATAATTTTATTTTTTAAAATATAGAGATTAATATTTAAGATATTAAAATTTTAGAGATTAAATTATAAGAGACAATGTTTAGGAATTTATTTATAATCGAATCAAAACTTAAGGATTGAGTTATAATGAATTAAAGTTGAGGAACTGAATTAAAATTAGGTCAAAACTATAAGAATCAAATCATTAATTTTCCTTATAATATAATATAATACAGGATCGAAATATTTAAATATGGGGTTTTGATCCAACATGCCCAAATTTTTTGTTGTTAAAAAAGAAATATTTAAACACGCATCACTTATGTATACAGTATACGCGCTAATTTCGACAAAAACACATGCGAATGATCTACATAACAAGGATGAACAAATTAGCTAAAGAACTAAAGTCGCGGAGAGAGTGAAAAAATGAACGCGGTGCAATGTTATAGCAAACTCGTGGGTTTTAATTTAAGTAATTAATTAATAATTAATAATAACTAAAAACGGAAAACAAACGGGAATAGAAGTTGTAGAGTCAGTCGATGGAAAGTCGCTCTCGCTTAGGCAGCGTTAGCGAAGACTTTAGGACTGACTCACATATAACCGACATATAATTCTCTGCTTATCGATCACTCGCATTAGCATTAGAAATAATAAATCACAGAATACATATCTTATATATTTGTGACTGTGAATACTTTTTCGGTATAAAGTTACATGTACACACACCCCACGCGTCCTGTACGATTTTCGGGTAGTATTCTGATTCGAAGCTAGAACTACATTTTCTGGTACCACGCCTGCTTTCCTACCCACCACCCTTGCATCTCTTCTCATAAAAGCCTCTGAGATATTCCAGAACTGTTAGCGTGAATTTTGAAGCTTTCGCCTAGCCTAGCCCTGCCGTTCTGTAGTCTCTAGCCGTCAACAATTAGCCTAAGAAGAACGATTTCTGGAAACAGGTTTGTAATTTCTCATTATGTTCTGTCCTTGTATCGCGTTCGTAGATGTTGTGCCGCGCTTTCTCTATTAAAAAATGTTTGACATAATAATGATAATAATAATATTAAAGGGTACACGTCTTTACTTTTACATTGTTGTAGGCTCTCCCCATGGCTACAAATTCATACCAAATTGATTTAAATGCTGACGCTGTTTTGTTTGATCAAGAAGATGAGACTTTTGGGTCTAAATCAATAGAACACGTCAACGCCGGAATATCGGGGCTCGAAACCCTAACCGAGCATGTTAACGATAAGTTTCAGGTTCAAAATCACATGGTTTGCCAGGCTGGGGATGATGGAGCAGCCAATGGATCGGTGGAGCCACCATGTGAGTCGTATTTGGGTGGAAAAGAGGGTTTTGATCAAGGTACTAAATTTGTTGATCGAGCTAATGTCTCTGGGGTAGGAACGGAACTTCTTAATGTGGGTTGTGACGTGGATGCAAGCAACTTTCCGAGTGGATTGCTGAAGAACGAAGATGAGGAACACATAACTGAATGTTTAAACGATACCCGAGTTTTATATGGAGGTACCCAAACCGATGAAAGTTTAGTTATTGGATTAAGTTGTGGTGCTGCGGATGTGACAGAGGTTACTAAAAATGCTCCGTCGAGCATAGAACTTGAACTAAATAAAATCGCTATTGGACATAAGAATATGACGGAGTGCCGAAAGGAGGACAAATATGCTAATGGAGCTTCTAGCAACGAAGAGGGTATGCAGTGTCTTAATGAGAAAACAAACAAGGGAGCTAGTAGTATGAATTTAAGAGGATTTGTGGGGCATGGAAGTGAGATTAAAGCTGCTGCTGATATTCTTTACAAGCATGGCCTTGAAGATTGTTATGCCAGAGGACTCACAGAATCTACCCGTGAGTTTCAGGATCTGATTCCAGATATAGAAGTCCAGGATGTCAGTGCCATAGAATCTTTGCCCAGTAAAGATCCCGTTTCAGGCAATCATCTTTATGAACAAGAAACTTCTCATTGTTCAAAACAGCCAGCCCTCAATGTTCATGAACAAGCAGAGGCGATGCAGAGCCAAACCACAGACACCATAGTTGAAGAAGCAGGGCCTTTCAATAATATTCAGAATGAGTTTCAAGGCATTAATCTTTTTGTAGACCTTAATTCATGCTGGAATTCCAAGAGTGTTGATGCAGATAGGAAGTCAGTGTCTTCAGAGCTGAATCTCCAAGTATCTGATTTAGTATGGGGAAAGGTGAGGGGCCATCCTTGGTGGCCTGGTCAGATCTTTGATCCCTCATCTGCGTCAGAAAATGCAAAGAAGCACCTTAAGATAGATTGTTACTTGATAGCATATTTTGGGGATCAAACATTTGCTTGGAACGAATCATCTAAGATAAAGCAATTTCAAATGCATTTCTCGCAAATGGAGAAGCAGAGCAAGTCGGAAATTTTCCATAATGCTGTAGATTGTGCCTTAGGTGAGGTCTCCAGACGGGTTGAATTTGGCCTAACCTGCCAATGCATTCCTGAAGAAGTTTCCAAAAAGCTCAAAACTCAGGTATTTTATAATGCTGGAATCCAGGATCAATCAAGTAGAATAGATGGAGGAGACAGGTTTCTCAATGCAATCGCTTTTGAACCAAAGAAACTTGTCAATATTGTTAAATCATTAGCCAAGTTGCCGTTTATTGAATTTGATAGATTGGATTTTGTTATAGCATGTGCTCAATTGTTGACTTTCTATCGGGCAAAGGGTTATTCTCAGTTACCACAGTTCACAATGCTTGATGGGTTAATTGAGGATGATATGGACATTCTTTTCACAGGGGAGAAGAAGCAATATGATAATCAAACTGACAGTCGAGGAGATCCAAAAGCCCATCTTGGCTTTTCTCACAAGCGGAAGCATATCTCTATAGATAGCACACAATCCAGGAAAAAGCATAAGTGCTTGTCGGATTTGATGTTGGAGGATAAGTTTTGTATTCCAAATGGTGAGAATGTATCAGAAAGAAATGCTGCTGGCCCTGGGTCGATTTCAGTCTCCTCAGCCAAGAAACGCAAGGCAATCCAGGATGCTTCTAGTGATTATTCCCGTAAGTCCCAAAGCAAAGGGCTCTTTCAGTTGTAGTGTATTTATGTGGATGAGATGTTGCCACAACTTTATCTCGCTGCCCAATATCCATTCAGAGAAACCCACAAAAGTGTCATTTTAAATTTCTTTTCTGAATTCAGAAATTTTATTATGCCAAATGATTCTGCTTCTCTAGAGCAAGGTATGTCCTTAGAGCAAATGCATGCTGAAGAGACTGGAGTAAGCTCAATGTAAGCAGTAGTTTATGTGACATTGCAATGGAGCCTTCCAATGATTCATATTGGACTGACAGAATAGTTGAGAGTGTTCCAGAAGAACAATCATTATTAAAGAATCAGAATGAAAGAGAGGAGTTTCTGCCAATTGCCAGGGGCGCTCCCTCTGTCATGCCACAAGAAACTGCTGAGGAACATTTGGATGGGAATTCTGACAAGGACTTCTGCCCAGTGGTACTGATTCTCCTTGACTGTCATTTTTTTGCCGCTTTGGACCGTTGATTGAATCACAGACTGAACTGCTGAAGAAGAGTAACCGTGCCAGAGTGGTTTTCAAAAGACGATCTGATGCAGAAAATGCTTTTAGTAATGCTGGTAAATATAGCATATTTGGACCTTCACTTATTAGTTACAGCCGCAAGATCATGCCTTCTATGGCCGAAAGAGTTACTGAATGCAAAGGAAAGCAACAAGTTCTGTAGATGGCTCTGCTGTCTGATCCCTTGGCATGATCCTTCAACCTCATATAGGATGTTAGTTTTTGGTGTTGTAATGTAAATATCCGCATTAGCATAGCTAGCTTGCAAATACGCATCATTGCGTAGCTGAATAGGTAACATTTAGAAGTCTTTTGGGAAAGGATCGTGTCAATATGAAGGAGGGTATATATTTTTTGGACTGGTACGAGGGAAGTGTTAATCTTCAACTGAAATTACTCTCAATCAGGATTTTCTTGAAAATGCGTGCATATTTATGAACGTCATTTTTAGTTTCGCCATTCTAAATATAAAAGCTTCTCGTTACTGTATTTTGTTAGTTATGGAATTTTTTTTCCCTTTCAATAGAAGCTAGGCCTCCATCTGATATTTTATGGACATGGGGAAATTCCATTTCCTAAAGGTTTATGCGCTTTCAAGTCATGATATAGGCATTCTTGATATATGTTCAACCGAAAATAGGGATGCAACTGAAGCGTGGAAGAAAGCACTAGTGCTTGCGAGTCCGGTGGCTAATTAAAAATACACGTCTGACTAGCGGTCAAAATTCAGACTCGCAAGTGGTTTCAATGTACGACTATCAATTAGGACCGATATTTTACAATTTGCTGCAAGAAACTCCAGTTGCAAAATGGATTGGCTGTTTTCGGGGTCGGCAACAATTGCAGAAGCAAATTAAGCCAACTTGCTACCGGCCGAGGATTATGCACAAGAGACCAAGAGTAAGTTTTGTGAAGCTCGATATTCATTTTTGGACTCCCCTATCCCGTACAAGATCAAGACCGTAGAAATGCTTTCTACATATCATTTGTGAAGCTAGATATTAATTTTTGGACTTCCTATATCTTGTACAAGATCAATACCGTAGAAGTGTTTTCCAAGCATTATCATGAACTCCTCAACCAGAAGTCAATGACTTCTGTACAAAACGTATTCGATATTTATTTTCCTTGTATTCAACGCCGAGCATCCATTTTCCATGATTCATGCTCAAAGAAACCAAAATCAGAATTGTCTGATTTAGTTGAGTAGCACAAACTAGGCCGGCAACTATTAAAAAACACAACTAAAATCTAACTATGAGCGGTTGGGGGGAAGTAAACACATGCAATCCAAATAAAAGAATTAGTTTGGGACCACAATTTAACATAGTTTGGTAAATTACCTAAGAGGAATACAAAAATTGACCATGCAACCCTCTCATTTTTTGACCGGAAAAAGTAAAATTCAAAACTTTGATAACTATCACAAGCCGTCCCATAAATTTAAGACCTCGGCTTCTCTTTCTTCTCCTTGAAGAGTGCCAGAAGGGAAACACCAGAGACCTTCACAACCTTGAACCTAACCCCAGGAATATCACCGACGGCATGACCTTTTCGCCCAAATCCAGCTATCAACACTTCATCCTACAAACACGTACACACCCCATTAACATCATAAATATGAAAACCATATAACCAGAAACATATGAAGAATATCTCAACACAATCTCAAATGTCAGTGCAGGAAGGATCTGTAGAAAATAACTGCGGCCATCTAAGGAGGAACACTTACATTCTCTTCTATAAAGTTTAAGCAACCATCGTTTGGGACAAATGCAGCAATCTTCTTGCCATTTTTAATGAGCTGAACCCTGGCACATTTACGAATGGCAGAGTTGGGCTGCTTAGCCTCAATCCCTCTGCAGGTAAAATATCATATTAATTCCTTGCATTAATTACTCCAATCAAAGAAAACTGGAGTAAAATATATGACAAACAATCTTACATCTTTTCAAGAACAATACCCTTTGCATGGGATGAGCCAGCAAAAGGCTTCTTCCACTCATTTCCAAGGTGAGACTTTTTGTATGCCTTGTCAGCCCACCTTTGCCTCCTGCGGTGGGATCTCAGCTTGCGGGCAGCTCCCATACCTCGAGTCTTCCTGTAACAGCAGGAAACCATGTAAGAAGACTTAACATGCCAAATCTGACGTTCTAATTGAGATTAAAATAGAAAATTCATAATCATTGTGATGGCATGCAATTCTGCTCAACGAATGACAGAGTTCAAAGATTGCAGAATAATGAAGACAGTCACCCATGTAAAAAGCTAAGCTTGGAAGTCTATTCAATAACAAATCTTTAAAACTATAATAATAAAATTGTTGAAATGAAATCTACATTACATACTCTTCACAAGTGACATGTGGCTGGGTCCTAAATTTATAGAGCCATATGGCAGACGGTTAAAGATCGTACTTCTCAGATTTCACAATAATGCCACTCTGATACTAAGAACACTAAATTCTCAAAACAACACGCAAATTTAGAAAAGATAAACAATTTATGCGCTGTAGTTACAGTACTGGACTCAAATAAGTATAATATTGCATGTTCTCAAGAAAAATTGTACATATTCATGTGAAGATAAATATTTACGAAATAGTAGGATGCATCCCAACAAAAATCGAAGATCACAAACACATAACAGAACCAATAAATTGCAGTAAGAACCATTTTCAGATACTTGGTCTATTTTAGCATCAAAACACTGAAGAGACCAAGCATTTTACGTCTTTTCTTTTACTTTCTTTTTGGTGTAAAAGTCTAAATCACCAATAAATACATATACACGACAGACGAGAACACGGAGCGAAACAAAAGCAGCGAGACCGGAATCTAAATGTAGAGGTCCTCACCCCATATTGACAGTGAGTTAGTTCCTTTGCGCTCGCTGTCTGTGTTGAGGAAAATTGGGGACGATGATGCAGCTGCCGCAGCGTAAAACCCTAACTCATCCAAAAGGGCAGATTTATATAGGAGGAGAGCAAGGAGACTCTCGGCTATCGGGCCATCAGATCTGGGCTTATGACTCTCAAGTGTCCATTTAAATATAGAGGCAATTATTTAAAAATTTTTAACACGAATTTATGATTTAAAAAAAATTAACACGAACTTAAAATTGTATTATATTAATCATGGGCTCTGTTATTTTTCCATTTTTTTTCTCTCATTTATCTTTCTTTAGTGTCATTCGTTTGTATTAGTATTCTATAAGTTTTTTTTTACCAATTAATAATTTTTAATTTTTTAAAGTTAATAGTTATTATATTTGGAACTTTAAAAAATTCAAGGTAAATTAAAGATTTTAACGCAGATTTCTTTTCTGGTGAATTTTTAGCCCAGAATTCTGTCGCATAGTTTCCCCTTTCCCTCACAAAACTTTTTATGGTTAAAGCATATATTTAATCTTTTAATTTTATATAATATTTTTTTAATCATTTAACCCTAACACTATTAATTTCATCACAAAAAACTTATACATTAAACTTTTAGATTTTGATAAAACATTTTCAAATATCAATACATTTAGTTTAATTTTTCAAAAAAAATAATTGATATAAATAATAATTATTTGAAATTAGTAATGTTAAGGTTAAAAAATTTAAAAAATATTTTTTTAGGAAAATTAAAGAATTAAATTAAAATTTTATATAAATATAAAGAATTTTAATCCTTTTTTGACAGAGCAAGGAAACCTGACAACCTGACCTCAGAGAACAATATCTTAGCCTTTTTTAAAAATTCTACCAATTTTTGGGGCCGGGGAGGGGGGGAGGATCCTGCGCCTCAAGGGGACCTGAAACAAATAAAATATGACATTATCTACCTAAAGACAGTGCAAAAATTTTCTAATCTGATCAGATCTAGTCCAACCTGAAAATAGTCATATCCTGTTCAATTTTTATAAATGTTAATCCTTCAAAACCAAAAAAATTAAAAAAATCAAACTATTTTTTTGGGTTGAACTGAACAGGAGACTGAATATTTGGATCACTTAATCCAATCTAGTCCTTTTGATTTATTTAATATAATTATAATTAATTTATTTTTAATAAATGTTTCAAGAGTAATTGACGCAATGAAAATAATTGCATAAAAATTTGTCAAGTTTGCTTTTAAATTATTGTTGTAATGTAGTGTTTTTAAAGTTTATTGAGTGTTATTTTTGTTGAAGTTAATAAATTTAAATCATTTAAACTGTAATTGAAATATTTTTTTCTTATTGTTGGAAATAATTTTAGAGTTAGCATGATTATTAGTGATTTTATCCTCTTAATTACATTTATTAAGTTGAAATAAATTATTACCTCTCATGGAGAGAAAAAAATAAAGCAAGCAAGTACTAAACTAATAGAACAAGTCTCTCAATTCTATAAACCAAATTCAATCCTGTTAATCTTTGAATTATTACTAAACAAAACTAGACTATCAATCCTTTTTATAAAACAAACCAAACTTTAAATTAGACTAAAATCCAGTACTATCCAATCCTTTCTATCTTTAAACTCTTTTAGTGTGCAATGAAATTTCATTTCTCTACATTTTAAAGTCGTTCACACTAAATTTCAGACATTGTCATTGATAATTAATTTCTTTTTATTATTGCCAACATGATACTGAAAATCGCTCAATTTATTTCGCTTGCGAGCTCCTAAAATAACAGGTATCAATGGTAGTGAAAACACATAGACTACAGAACAAAGCGTTTATTTTAGAACACGTGCAAGTGAGGAAGAAGTGGTAGGAGATAGGAACTAGTGACCGCCAGTAAAATAACTTAAATCAACAGTCTCTTCAACTCAGGGAAACATCCCAGTACTACAAAGCTTCCTCATCAGGAAAAGAAAGAAAAAAAAATATTTTACGTCACATTTTATCGCTTCATATGATAAGGTTGAAAAAATGATTGCTCGGAGACCAAAATAATTTACGCTGAATTGTGGCGAAGGACATTATCAACACTGTCAAGGTAGAGGTTAAGTAGATGGGAAGAATCGAGCTTCAAAATGCAGACCCACCTCCCTTGGTCTTGCCAAGTAACACATCTTTTGCTTCATTAATTTTCGATGCAAGGTAATGGCTACCACCAGCATCTGGATGGTTTGCAACCATCACCCTCCTATGCGCTTCCTTAATCTTCTCCGTTGGAGTTCTCTCCCTGCCATGGCAATTTTAATTCAGCAAGAAATAGTAATGGAGGCATACGTCAAGGCCATGATGCGTGGCAAGGTCTCAATAAGAACCAGCGTAAATCTAACAAGCCATGGAGGAAGGAGGAAGGAGATAATCAAGACATTGTAACATCTTTCTTTCTTTTCTTCAGGAAAAAAAAAAGGGGTACTAACTTCTCAGAGACTGACCACCATAGTCCTAAATTCCTCCAAAGTATACGAATGGAATTTCATTGTATAATTTCCCTGAAATTTATTTATAAGTGCTAAAATGTGCATATTCATCACCCTTCCAGAGCAAAATGGAAGCAAGAGGGCTAAGGAACAAAACCTAACAGGTATGCATGAATCATTTAACAATATGTTTCAAAAGACAAGTCATTAGGCATGTAAATCTCTACATATTTTCCAATATTCTGAACAGATCACAAGGTATATGCTACAAATTCCTTTGGGTTTCAATTAATCAATCAAGACTTAAAATGCACATAGGGAGCTTGAGGGCTGCTGAGGCACGCGCAGCACAATTGCAAGGGAGATGTCCGCATTTCCTATCCATTTGGGTCTCTAATAGTACAATATCAATTCATGGCCAAAAAAAATTGCAACATCAATAATGATGGGGTAAAGGCAATCTATCATCCCAGATCGCCAGAATTGAATCGGCTCCGTGAACTGGTAAGCTGATTGGCAGAGACTTGCAACCCCCCCCCCCAAAAAAAAAAACCCTAAATCCATAACATAAATGTATACTGTGCATTGCATATTCTAACCACAAAAAATGAAGCGTTAATTTACTTAATTAATCTCAAAGAAAAACTCATTATCAGTGCTTCAAACTATCAGTCACCAACTAGAATATAATATCTTGAAAATTTTCCAAGTTATTGCAGGGGTGAATGGATCACATCAAAATGCTTGAAGCTTTGAAAAAGGATGCAAGTACCTGACCCCCAGTATAAGAGCGGCTTCCCTTCTAGTCATGGTTGGTTGGAAACCACCTTCATAAAATTTACGCAAACTTGGTGGCCTTGCTTTGAATGCTTGCCAGGCTTGGATCCCGTATCTGCCAGCATAAGCAGCAGCAGCTACAGCAAGCCCTGCCATCAATGGTGTAGCCTGTGACAAGTAGTACTTTCAGTTTCCTGAAGGAGATTAAGAAAAGACCACAGTTTTGATCAGAAATAAACCTCTCTTTTCGTTGGCGCTATCAGGTGGTCACACTCACACACAATCTAAGCCGTAATTGTGAAGAATGATCGGGAATTCCAGCTTCATATTAATATAGCAAGTGCGTGAATGTGATATTCATTATTCAACATAGCATGTGAAATCATGTTCCTCGTTTCCCACCCAAAACATAAATTTCATACCCTCGCTATCCAACAAAACCTCATTTTCGCCCTTGAAAAATATGACTAGAAATAATCTGATATAAGAAACAATAAAATATCAAAATTCCAAACTCCAGATATAATTACCAGTAAAAATAGCAAATTGAAAGCGGAGAAAGGCTGGATTCCATAGAGAGACCGAGGAGTGATAATAAGATGTTAAAAAGAATAAAGAATGCCAAAGAATATTCCAGTCGCAGCGGGCATAGCCCTAAGATTCGCATACCGTTCAGTAGCTTGTTAACGATTATTTCCTCGTTCAATAGAAACCAAAGTTTACAAATAAGTTGGAAGTATAGATGAGGACACGCATGAATAGCGCTTACCATGTTGATATCACCTGGGAGAACTGCTAATGGACATTCGCAGTAAGCGGCTTAGGGTTTGCCTTTCGCGCAAAGACGGCACCGAAGACCAGAGCGGACTTCTTTTTAAAACAGAGAACAAATGTTTTCCCCGTATATTTTATGATGATATCAATGGGTTTTTTTACTTTTTTTTTGGTCGTTTTTTTTTTTTTATGTCCATGTTAATGGTCCATCAATATTAAAAAAAAGAAAAGAAAACCTCAAAAGAAACTGTACAGGTAAAAAAAAAAAACTCCAACTTTCTTTTTAACTGAAAATAATCTATATTTCTGAATAATTTATTTTTTTCAGTGGAGTTCTAAATAGTTCTCGCAATCAAATCAAATCACCAAATTAAGATCAAAATAAGAAAATCAAATAAAATTTCAATTATATTTTTTTAAAAAATATATAATTTTAAGTTTTTACACTTTATTTGCGTTTTATTTTTAGTTCCTATATTTTTTTTATATATTATAGGTCTTCAAACTTTTATTTTTATTATTTTAGGTCCCTTCATAGAAACTTGGAGGGACATAAAACAACAAAAAATAAAAGTATAAAGACATAAAATATTAAAAAAAATATAATAACTAATAATAAAATACAAATAAAATGTAAAGACCTAAAATTACATACATACACATATATATATATATATATTTTTTACGAGTCAAAGTGATAACATTAATTAATTAATATTTAAAGCAGTACGATGGTCAAAAAAAACATTCAAAGTAATATACAAGAAAGGATTGCTTTTTTCCACCACCTTCCAGCAATAAGATGACACTTGATCAAAAGAAATAAAAAAATCCTAATAAATTAGTACCATAAGTGGCTAACAAGTGGGCATAACACATTTGCTTCCCTCAACATAAAGGATAAAGAAACATAAGTACTTCTAGACCAAAAAACTAGCATAATCAATTGTCTCTAAAAGGATGTGTTACTGAACTTGAGTGTGTGAGAAGCTTCACCCCCTTAGCATAGTCTATAAACAAATTGATGTGTTGAGGCCCTGTTTGTTAGCAAAGTTCTAGACCTTGAATAATGGCAATGATTTCAGGGATAGTAGGAAGAAAGTTTTTCACATTTGAGTTGAAGTCAATAAGCCAACCAATTTCATTATTTTCTACCACACTACCACACTACCGCATCTATAGATGCCTTTTCTATACAAACGATCTATGTCAAGCCTCGTGACATTATCTTCTCATTCGAACCAATCACTATTCTCTCTTATAGCATCATGATATATATTAGATGATGAACTTCATATCATTCTGCAGTCTCCAAATAATATCTAGATTTTGTCTTTCCTCCACCTTCTTAGTTGCTGTAAAAAGTTTCATGCATCTATTACACCATAAATCCTAGCATTCACAACGAAAGAAGGCATCCCATAGTAAATAGTTTGTCATCTCACTATCAATAAAGTGTTTCAAATTTATAGGACCTAATCTGTTCCGTCCAATCAGTTGCAAGTATTTCTCACCTCCACTCTAATGAGAATCTTCTATAGTTCCTCTACTTTTGAAAAATCTCTTAAAAGATGCATTGCTTCTTCCTTTTGATTATGCCCCAGCTAGTAATTAAAGCTAAGCAGAGTTTAAATATCCATGCTAGTAATTATAGATTTTGTACTTTTTTGGGTGAAATATAAATTTTGTACTTTATGCTAGTATCAATATTATTATAACCAATATTTTAGTAAATTTAAAAAATGTCAAGCTTTTATTTACTCAACTTAATAGTGTTTAGAATCTTTATCTTTAACCAACAAAAATTAATTCAATTAGTAAGGATTTGGCCCATAATCTATAAGGTTGTAGGATTAATCTCACCACATTAAAATTTTTTTATTGTGCCTTTTGAGTATTATGACCTATAAAATTTTTTAATAATATATTTTTATGAAAAAGCATATTAATATATTTTTATCACTTTATAAAAAGATATAGTATTTTGGTGCAATGGTTCATTGGAGCACTGTTGTTCTACAATACATTTGGGATATCAACAAATTTTTTTTTATATAAAGAATTGGTATTTATTTCTATTTTCTTCCTTCTAAAATCATCTGCAATGCACAAAAAGTTTAAAAAAATAGTTATTTTTTTGTTTGTTGTAGTTATAAACTTATTACTATTTTGACAATTCTATTTTATGCCTTCCAAATACTATTTTTATACTATAATTATCAACTTTATCAATATTTATTCAATATTCATCTTCTATTATTTTTTAATATTCCTGGCTCAATTTTTTTATGCATTGCTAGTTATCATTATATCATTACAATTTTAAATGAACCGTATTCCCTTTGTCTAGGTCCACTTTTTCTTCAAAATTACACTTCTCTTCATTGCATACCCCACTACAATCAAGCGGAAATAAATACACCATCCGAAGAAACTGAGCATAGCCGCCTAATATACACTTCATGTAATAAATGAGGAATCAACAAATTTAAGCAGTATATTAATCGTCCTTAATGAAGATCCAAAAGGACTTGGCCCATTCTCCTGCCACAATGACATCAATAAGCTTTCCTCCCCTTCAGTAAAATAAATTTCAATTTCCATCCCAAATACATACATTCCACAGCAATAAGACACAGATGATTACAATAAAGTAATAAAATAAATAAATGAACACCCAATTGAGATTGAACTTGTTCGTCTTATGAGTTATTTCTTCCATGATCCTCTTTTAGCAGCACTTTCAAGTCTTACGCTCCACCTCTTTTCCTCATGATCAATCAGCCACACTATTACCGACGGTGACCTCTGCATTGAAGCTGCTTTCTACCTTTGGTGGACCTGAATGCCGTCTCGGCCTTGCCGGTGAAGGAGGGAAGGAAAGCCGTTTCTTCACTGTCCCAGAGGATCCCTTCTCTACTGTGTCATTCTCTACAGTTAATGGACTGAGCGGCTTGGACTTGGCTTTTGCAGACTGAGTTGGCACCATGTAGCTTGGAACAGCCTGAAAGCTTGCAAGGCTCTCGTCGTCTCCCACAGATGATCCAGCGATGGAGTGCCTCCGAAAACCAGACTGCACACTGACCATGCTTTTGGTGTCATCATCAATAACTGAGGTGACCTTGGGGCTCACTTTTTTCAGTTTCTTGATAACTGAGGCTGAAGAAACAAGTGCCTTGGAAGGAGTTGAGTGGGAATGAAAGCTCGGGGAGCCTAGGTTTTGGCTGGCTGTTGGAGAGTGCTTTTCAGAGTTGAGCTGGTATCGAGCATAGGATTTACTGATCTCTCCGCCAGTTATGCTGCGGGTCGAGCTTTTGACCGATGACTGGTCATTCACATCTTTGCTTTCCCAGGGCCGGGCTGCCATCCATCGCTCCAGCCAGCTCCAACCCCATGCCGGATTAGTTGGATCCATAAAAACTGGGTTTATAGATCTAGTTGAATTCTTTCCATTTTGCTGTCAAACATTTTTTTTTTTTTGGAGCAAAGAACAAACTTGTGTGAGTTCAGAATCAGCAAACCAACATAAGTTGCAAGTTACATTGTCAGCAGTCAGCACTACAAAATATAAACCCTAGTTAAACCAAGCCAGTTAAAATGGAACATGTCAGATAGATCGTGACATTGAAAAGTGTTTGGCGTGCTCATATCTTTCTTCAGTATTTGCCTGGTCTACTTATCTTTGTAGAGAATAGGTTTGCCTAAGAATTTCCTTAGATAACCAAATAATATGATTTTCATTTACAAAAGAAAAGTAGGCATGCTGCCACTTTACCTAGCAAATCATACAACAGGCAATTTAAGGCTCTGTTTGTTTCACTGGGGAAAAAATCCATGAGAAAATATTAACAAGAAAAACAACCAAAAAAAAAAATTGTTTCAAAGAAAAATACTCGGCCAATATTAATTTCACTTAAAAAATAAATTAGAAAACTATTTCTGTGGGCCAAAGGGAATTCCTTAACATATCAAGCCTTGAGATATATGGCATCTTTTTCCGTCAGACTTCCGAAACTTGAGCTCGCGGTTATTATTCTCCTTTGTGAACCAAATACAATGGTGTTGTGCAGTCAGGTAACCAACCTCACTTAGTGAGATAAGGTTTATTGATATTATTGTTGAAGGCAAATAAATCAAATGTTAAGAAATGTCATCATACTCACTTGTGAATTCATGCATAAGTATATTCAACAAAAGTGGTTCACGACTACATACAGATCAGAAAGCGATAATTGGAAAATAACAATTCAACTTCATTATATCTCATAAGTCATAAATATTGTTTTTCTCTTAGACAAAAAGAACAATGCCTGGCCAAAATGGATTTGACCCAATGCCATAACAGAGGCAACACTGCAGAGTTTAAGTCTTTGAAATTGAATACAGTAGAGACACCCAAAAAGAGAATTCATGTCTATGTCAAGTCTGTGTTGAGGATAGATCAAAGAAGAGGAAGAACTTTGAGAGCTAAGGAAACCTAGAATTTAAAATTAACCATTACCTATTAATTTTAGAATAATATACCAAGAACAATTTGGATTCTTAATCAAATTTGTCAATTAAGCGTGATATTGTCATGCAAAGTGAAAGAAACTAATAAGCTAGTTTTCCTACTATCCTTTTCCATTCAGTTCATCAAAAAATTTCATGCAATTCCATTTTTCCTCTTATTCCTTGAGGAAAATCATGTGTCAAAATTCATAGGAGGAAACACCTGGTGAGAGAATGCATAAGCCAATGCTCTTTCTCTCCTCACTGTAGCCTCGTACTTGCTCAGCAACTTGGCTTCAATTTGTTCCTTTGATTGGAGGCTATCATCCCATTCATCTCCCATCTGTCATTAAAATTTGAAACAAGTTATAAATTTCAATAAAACGACATTACAAAAACAAATAATATTAATCGTATGCAAGAGATTAGCACCCTGTAAACGTGATAGATAAGGAAATAAAGCAAACCTGAAGGCTAAGCTCTTTTGCATGCTTCTGTAAGAACTGTCTCTGAAGAGCTTGATTCTCCTCTAACATTCTGATCCTCCTGGTTCGTATCTGAGCTTGCAAACGAGCTAGAGTCTGCATAGAGCGAAGAGTACTAGTGGCTTGGCGTTTTACAGCTGGCCCTTCCATCAAAGATTTCAACCTAACCAGGCCTCTTAAAGCCCTCAATGCTCTTCTTGCCTAAATGATCGCCAAAGAAAACTGAGTTTCAAATGTGACTGGTCATGCAATCAATAAGTGTCTTCTTTTGTAGCAATTATAGACTACCAGCGATGACTTTAGAACTTGGTAAAATTGAAGAGGGCATTTAATAAAAATAAAAATTCTGCAAGAAATGCCAGTTAAGAAATGACGGTCAATTGATCTGACTTTGTCAGTTTATGAGAAAAATTAGAGGGCTAACCCAAAAAAAAAGGTATATGCAGTTATCTCTAATGTTTTTCCCCTTTATCAGAATGCAGTTTGTACCATGTATCCTCGAAAAGCTGTTTGAATCTTCATTGCTGCTACTTCAGCACTCAATTTCCTAGAAGGCAGAGGAATTATAGAAGCTTGAACTGGAACAGGGGCTGTTTGAACTGCAGGAACAGGTTCCTCAGTATCTACAGCATTTGTAACTTCAACTTCAACATCAGCATCAGGAGCATGATTGTTTTCATTCTCAATATTAGTTAATTTGACCTCTTCTGGTGGTGAAAGAGATAGTGCTTTATCAGTTTCCAAGTATGAGTCTGAAGTCTGCAATTTTTGCTTCCCAAACCATTTCTTCTTTGATTTATTTGATCTCTGCAAAGAAAGTTAACGAAACTATCAGAGACATCCAATGAAATAGAGATGACTATAAAAATATATATTAAAAAAAAGAGAGAGAACTCCAAACCTCGTCTTCCCTCTTCTTTGACTCAGGACTGAGAGCTTTCTTCACACTAGAAAACCAATTCCCCTTCCTCCCCATCTTCTTGGCATTCCTCAATTGGTCCCTTGGATAGAAAAATTTAGAATTTTACGATCTCAAGTCAAGCCTGATGAACACCATAATTTAGTTTCAAATACAGCAAATATAACCAAAAGCCATGTGCGTTTTGAAACTTGAAAGTGAAAAGCAAGGAATCCCATAGATGGAGTAAGCCTCATTACTCGATCGTTTTATTTTAAGCTAGAGGAATGACCATTCAGCTTTTGATAGATGATATTATCATGAACACAGAGGGGAAAGAAGGGAGAAAAGTAACTGAAATTACAAAGAAAACAATCCGAGTAAGATCCTCCTAGATGAATTCTAACAGTGTCGGCAAACTAAACAGAAGTCTCGAGATCCTCGTTCAACAAATACTGTTGGACCATCTAGACTGCCAAATTATCTTCCAGAATTTTCGTAGCGAGGAGACAGCAACAGAGAAAAGTAAATTTTTCCATCAAGATTAGCGAAGGGCAGGCCTCCCCACGCATTAGCAGCACAAAAAGTTGAAACTGCGAGATATCTCTCCAAATAATGCAAAAATTGCAAGAAATCCAAGAGACTCACGAAACTCAGCTGAATACTAAAGGTTAACAGTGAATTACATGTTCTAGGAAAATGAGGAAGTGAAGCATAGCATAATAGATGAAGTGAAAAGCCCGAACTGAAACTGCAGGTCCATTGAAGAAAAAGTGAGCATACCTGAACTGAAACCCAAAATGGCAGATCTCAAATATCTGGTGCTCCTCCCCTGGGGTCGCTATACCTCTCACTATCACTCTCTCTAAGCAAACGAAACAAAAAGATTATAACTTGAAGATTACAGTTCAACCACTGTGTCCCTCTCCCCTGTAAAGAGGGAAGCGAAATAAATCAGATCTTGCCACAAGGCCTTCAGTTCTCTCCCAACGATGAAAGAGAGGATACGAGAATGAGAGCGGCAGGCAGGAGCCCAGCTGGCTTTTGCTAATATATTGGTCTCACAACTTGGATTGGCTGCGGTGGGCCCCACTCCATTATTATCAGCCTAAAACCCCCCAGAGCTTCCCTTCGTTGAAAGGATCCAATTAGCGATTTGGTCGCCGACGATGTAATTTCACTGCGGTGCTTCAGAGAGCTGGCAATTGGCTAACAATCAGGATGTATTTCTATTTATATGCTGAATTGGATGTTTAAGTGTCGTTTAGGTTAATTTTTTAATTTTTAATAACGCAAGCATTTAAGTAGGCATTGAAATTTTTTTCTTCCACAATGACATCTCATTATTATTATTATCATTATCAGATATAAAAGCTTCTCTCCTCCGTTGGCCACCCACCGCGCGTCAATTATTCACCTTTCCTCTTTCTTCATAAACCATAGTTACAGTGAAACTATAAGCTAGTTGCTCAATTATTTCTCTCCACATAAATTATGGATTTGAATTTGGTGGTGATACTTAGTACAAGCATATTGGATATATGTGGGTATATGTGGCATGTGAACCATTGAAATAAAGTCAATAATTTTAAATTCATGCTTCACTTAAAATTATTAGATGAGTAAATTTATTTAAATAATTAATCTAAATTTTAATAGTTTAAATGTTATAAGCACTCAATATTTATATTAAGTATAGTTATAAAATCTAAATTTTAAAAAACCATAACAAGTTGTTTATAAAATTAAAGTTGCATTAATACCAATTGCTTGATACAACAAAATTCACAGCACCACACTATACACACTGTATTCCTTCCCTCCGTTATATTATATTCATACCATTTAGGTTGGTAAGACTGAGCCAAAATACCAAGCGTTGATTATCGCTAAGGTGGGGTCGGATTGTTGATCTGACAAGATTTCCAAGTCATAATGCAACCCAAAACGGTGGCTTCATGTCCAACGCTAATTTATTTTATCAGTGAAGCCTGAACGTTTTCCACTTTTATGTATGATTGGGCAGGTCAGAAAATGGAGCGAGCCCGCAACATATATTCTCGTGAGTGTATTTGATCATTCGATGAAGGTTGGCAATTGCAGACAAAAAAAGCGTGGTTGCCTATCAACCCAACGGCTAACTGCGCCTCACTGTTTAATTGGCTGCAGACAGAAAAAGCATGGTTGTCAAATCATTGATGGAAGATGTCAGCGAGCTTCAGGGCAGGTGTGTGTGATTGTAGTTAATTATTCAGCAAAAAATATTTGAATCTTCAAAGCGCGTTGGAGAGTAACTCCAAACAATCTATCTATCAGCGCCTCCAATCTCTTCTTCTTATTAAAAGGTATAAGAAAAAATAATAAGAAGAACCTCTTAAATTACATAAGTGATAATTTATCTTACAAAATATTATAATTTTACTTAAATTTTTAAAGACTTTTATATCAATAAATTTTAAAGTGAAAATACTATGTTATTATCAGGAACAAGTTATGATTTATTATTCAATTATTGTAATTTTTTGAATAAAAGTTATTATTTCTTAAATAAAATTATTATTCTTGTAATTTTTTGTTTAACTCTTATAATTCATATAATACAAATATTATTTCTTAAGTAAAAGTTATAATCAGAACTTGTTTTTTAATAATAGAAATTACACTTGATAAGTTATAATTTTTAATTCAACTCTTGTGATTTATAAAACACAAGTCGTTATCCTAAGTAAAAATTGTGATGTGATTTGTTATCTTTAATAAAAGTAAAATAATTTTTTTTGCTTTAAAATTTCTTAACATAAAAGTCCCTATCAACTTCAATAAAATTATGATATTTTAAAAAATAAAATTGTTATTGTAAATTTAAAAAGTTTTTTATTGTTTATTTTCCCAAAACACAAGTGCTCAGCATAAACATAAATTTTATTCATAAACTAGTATATGAAGCAATACTGATGATAAAATTATTATTACAGTAAAAGTAATCTTTCTAAATCACATGGTAAATGCGATGCATGATATCACGTGACATAAATCCACGCAAAATGTTCTGGTCAAAAATATCTACAGCAAGTTAACAAATAAAAATATCTCCTGAAACCACTGAATGTATTTACGTCTCATTTTCAAGAGCCACGTGCTTCATTCGATGGTTTATTCGGGCCAACTAGTAAGTAGTAACCAATGATCAGTGAAGCCATGATTTTTTTTTTTTTTTTAAAGAGTAACCAAGGAAGCTATCAAGTAGAGCCACTAATTTAGATAGATCGGGCTTATTTGGACAATGCTTAAGGTATCATATCTTCTTAAAAAAAGCTTATATAATTAAATTTAATCTTAACTTTTTTCAGCCCAATTTGGATTCACCTGTCAGATTTAGTTGAAATTACCACCTTTATATGCATGTAGAGATATAAATTCTAGCGATTGGGCTAATCGGGTCGAGCTCAATTTGGGCCGACTTATTTAGATCAAGTTCAAAGTATCATTCCTTTTTAAAAAAGCCAATACAACTAAGTTCAAGTCCTATTTTTTTTTTTTGAGCGAGTTAAGACTAGGTCTGACTTACTGGCTCTACTATCAAGAGCAATAATTTGTATATTAAAAAAATCGAGTAAATTCTTACGTTTTTATCATGACATCGTGGACTAATATCATTGCATGCATTTTTTTTTTTAAGTTCATTCGTTGAGAACAAAATCTATTTCTTATTTCTTTATCTGTACGCATTTAAGCACAATGCATTTGTACATTTAGGTTATCGAACAGTACACGTGTCAGAAATTTTAAATTGAATTATATATTTTAAAGCATCCAACGAATTTATAATTCCATCATTTCTTTAAGTGCATAATTCTCTAAAATACAGAGGTCAAACCTAACATCAGCAACGCGTTTGGGTGGTTCCGTTTTTATTTGAGGTAAGGTTACTTTTTTTTTTTTTTTTTGGCCAAACGAGGTAAGGTTCACTCAATCATCGCGAGCCCGAAATATTATAAAGCTGTGTCTTTATTTACTTGGATTGGAAGACAAGGATATATAGAAATAATCAAATATACTCTACCCTGTTTTTGTTTCTTTTGTCATCAAATCAAAGAATATAATCTTCTTGGCTAAAAAAAAAAAAAAACAGAGAAGAATATAAATCTTTTAAAAAGGATCTCAAAACAGGCATTGCTTCAGGATCACAACTTTTCTGTGCCATGTCGGCAGGGACTCTCATGGGCTTCACTTCACATAGACAGGTGGGGTCAGCCCAATGGAGCCTACATTTGAAAAGGCCAAAGACTTCAGCTGATTAATCACTGAAGAATAGCTTTTTAAACTTTAAAAGATGGCCCAAGACTGAATGCTACTCTGCTTCTTCAGTACTACAAAACATTGAATTGTCTGTGAACCGATAAAATTATGGACATACTGCGGGAGAAATGTGTATACGTAACACTAACGGAAGCTGAAAAAATGAAAACAAAATCCTCAAAGTATGAATGAAATTGCTGCACTCGCCCATCCTTAAATTTGCTGCAATGTTTGTTATTTTCTGGATACTCTGTTTTATTATCTGGGGCCACCATTTGATGAAGATGTTAAAATTTGATATCTTGAAGTGACAGGAGGTTGAAAATTGAAACGCCATTGCATGATTCTGGAGCAACCCTCCGGCGGAATCCCACTTAACTTTGATTCATCTTCCAATACGACTTGCTTCACAATTTTGATTGAATTCTGAGAAACCCAGAACAAAAAACCACATAATAAGAAAATGAACTATTTCAACAAAAAAAAAAAGAACTGTTAATCTCTGATTTGGATATTATGGAAAGTGGGTTCTATGTTGGAGTAAGGGGAAAACTACATTATTGTTTGTGAGCACATTATGGAGGAGTATAGTGCAATTCAAGCTTGCCGCCTGATTAGCTGAAAAGTCAGTCAAGTTGTCATAATATTATTAATTATTACCTAATACTTACTCTATTATTCCTTTTTCATTTTTCCTATTTAAAGTAGTCGGGAGTTGGCCAAACCTCAACTAAACATATCCTCTAGGCTCAAACAGTGAATTCTTATATGGACATAATCATTAACAAACACCACAAGTCCTTGGCTTAATTTTTCTTGAAGAGATTTCTTCACCCACTTTAAAAGAAGCATAGAATAAAAGCTGGGAGTTGAAAATAGCAAGTACCTGAGATGTGTCTTGAACAGAAGAAGTGCGACCCCACCTTTCAGGGTCCCAAAGAATGGAACTATTGAATGCAAAACTGGAAACATGAATGGGAGGAGTGGGAGAAACAGATTCATTGTTGACATTCCTGAGATGCCAACCAATGACTCGTGAAGAATCACACACTGGCCCTTCTATTATTACTTTCTTCCTGGTTGCTGCTAATAGCGCCACCGGCCATGTTCCAAATACCCTGCCCAGTTTCCATTTCAATTTTTATATATTGACATAACATTATGATTTATAAATGTGAATTATCAGAAAAATTATCACACAACGTGTAACAGAAAACCAAGACCTGAAAGTGTGAAAGGTATTGCATACTTAATTATAATTCGTGGTTGGTGTACCTAAGAATTTCTATTTGCCCTTCATTAATCAATTTGCAAATTTAATCATCTTTTATCTTCCATGCAGCACGCCATGGACAAGCAGAATACTACCACCAGGTTCTTAAAATGTTGAAAACGACTAAAGGATGGTATATACAGGGGAAAAAAAAAGCAATAAATAACCATCAATTTAAAAGTAAGAAATAATGGGGAAGATGTTATACTCAATATCTCTAAGCTGGTGGAAGAATTCAAGATCATAACCATTGGAAAGCCCAGCAAAGTGGACAATCCCACTAAGCCTATGGTGTTCAATGTGCTTGAGAGCAAGATTTCTCTGATGATTCAGCTCAGCTTCCAGGCTGTGAAGTTTTCCTTGGACACCAAATGTCTGTACATGATTCCTGTTTTTCCTTAGTATCTCCGACAGTTCTGTGGACTCCGTCGGTGGTTCCACAACAATCCACAACAATGGCTGAGGAACCAACTTTATAGTATTCGCCAGCCTCCTCAACAACACTTCTTGAAATGGAATTTTGCTGCTCGTTGGTGTGACAAATGATTACGTGTCTTCCAGGCTTCAAACCAAGCTCTTCTCGTACATATGACCCTGTCTTGTGTTTGGGACCCTAGAACTTGGAGATATCAAGCTTCTATTTCTCTGATGATTCAGCTCAGCTTCCAGGCCTGTGAAGTTTTCTTGGACACCAAATGTCTGTACATGATTCCTGTTTCCTTAGTATCTCCGACAGTTCTGTGGACTCCGTCGGTGGTTCCACAACAATCCACAACAATGGCTGAGGAACCAACTTTATAGTATTCGCCAGCCTCCTCAACAACACTTCTTGAAATGGAATTTTGCTGCTCGTTGGTGTGACAATGATTACGTGTCTTCCAGGCTTCAAACCAAGCTCTTCTCGTACATATGACCCTGTCTTGTGTTTGGGGACCCTAGAACTTGGAGATATCAAGCTTCTATTGACATTTGTTGTCTGGTCGTGTGACATTTCAATGGCTTGCGGTGCAAATTGTATCCCATTAGAGGCAGAAGCTGCTTGTGTTGAAACGAAAGAAGATTTACCTGTTGGAGCAAAGCCTGTGAAGAACCCCATCACAAAACATAGAGAGAAATGGATCATGGCTTTCTTCCACAACTGAATTCCCTTCTTTGATCTTTCTAATGCCCATTTTCTGTAAAAACAGTCGCTGCAACAAAATGCGATCTTTTGATATATCAGTGAGGAAGGATCGGAGATGAAGCAGAAGAAGGTTAGATAATATAAAGTAGAAGCTTTAAGGGGCTCCACGTATTTGTTAGAACTATAGAAAAAGGTTAGAACCAAGAAAAATTATGATAGGTACAGCCAAGTGAATGCTTAAAATTTATGCTCAGGGGCGTTTCGTTGGGAAGCTATTGCTTCGCTTTGGTGTCACTTGAAGCAAAAGGCATAGGAATAGAATAAAAAAAATAGGTTGGGTTTGAGCGTGAGTTGCTATCCAGCACCAAATAGCAGTTGGGATGTTACACATCATCATTCAACAATTGAGAACTCTGCCATTTAACTAGTTTTATTCGATCAGTTTTTGTTGAATTTTTAATTCCTAGCTGACCTTAGTCCATTATTTTTAAGGTATTCTGTTAAAAACAAAGAAATTGGCACTGAAAATTGATCCTTGATATCGTCTTGTCAAAATAATCATGCATGTGCTGGAAAAGGTTGCATTATAATATCCAACAATCATGAGCCTAATGAATTTTTAATTAATTTGTTATGATTATGGGTTGAGTTTCGGATCTTAGCTCTGACAAATTAATAACAGTGGCAATGAAGAATTTGATTGCTCTTTTTGTTTGAAAAAAAAAGAAAAAAGAAGCTCGGCCTCAACTAGATGCAACGTAACTATTTTTTTGTTTTGAATTACATTTAACGTTAAGAGCTAAAAAGCTTACAAGAAAGAAATTTAAGGTGAAATTTTCTTGTTATTATCCACCACCTTCAAACAAAAAGGTGAGGGTTGATCAAAAGATTGAAACACACCTATTCTATCTAAAGCAAACTTAGCCAAAAAATGAGCACAATAATTGGCTTCCCTAAACATATAGTTAATTGAAATATCCCATTCTCTACAAAGAAGGGATTGTGTTGATTAATAATATCACAAAGGGTGATAATCCTGGTTGAAACTAAGAAGGAGGTTCATTGCACTTGCACAATCAATAAACATTTTGACCTTTCACAGCCCCATATCTCAACATAGTTGAAGACCATATATAATTTTCAATAACTCAGTCATAACAACAGGGTCAACACAAATATTAAAACTACACCCAATTACCCCACCCAATTAATATTCCAATCTCGAATTACGCCACCACATTTGCCTAAACCATTTTTCACATATCCATCTACATCTAGTCTTACATAGCTCAACTCCGGCCCTCCATCAATCTTTTATAAAACTGCTTGCTTTCAAATGTGAATGTTTGCTTAGCAAGTTGCAAGTCTTGCTTTGCTTTGTGAAGCGTCACGGTTCCATTCCCTAACTTTTCCACATCCTCACTAGCAAATGCCTTTCTACATCTATCACACCTTATGTCCCAACATACATATCCAAAAAGAATATCCTAAGGTACTTGTTTTGTGAAACTTTTCCAACATCTTTATGAAAGTTTCAAGATATCCATTTTGTTCTACTCAAGACCCTAAATTGTTGCCAGTATTCCTCTCTGATTAGCCCCTTCAGCATTCTACCACATGAGGACAGTCTTGAAACATGTGCATTTCATCCTCCACCATGCTACACCCAAGTGGACATCTACTAGACTTCACTAGACCCCATCTCAATCTTAGCTCTGCTGTGTGAACTCTTCTGTTAGCAAACGGCCAGAGAAGCACTTTGATTTTTTCTTGTCCTCGCCAACGCCATATTCTGCTCCAAATATCAACCACTTGATTTTCAATACTGCAAAAAGAAAATCATATGCAGATCGAATGTTAAATGAACCATTAGTGGATGGTCATCAAATAAAGTTATCCTCTCTCCTCTCATCTCTCGGAGTTAGAGTGCGAGAGAGAAACGACATGGCTAAGCAACCATCTTCCCATTTTCATAATATCCTAATAACCTTTGAAGTCAACAAGATCAGCAACAGTATCCTTTACATTAAAGGAGTGTTTAGCGCATAATTAATCAACAGCTTACCAAACTAGCTCAGTTGTTAAACCAGAAGCTGTTGTTATAACCGTTTCTTACCTTTTTTCTAACTCCATCTGAGAATTATCCCAACATTTGATTATATTCCTTCAAGTCAAAGATAAACTTTTTTTCCTTCTAATTAATGGCACCATTCCCAAACCACATTGTCCTCAGCTTTCAACACCTTAACTCACAAGAAATCATCATTATCGAGCAATTTCCAGCATAACTTAAAGATCCAGAGCAACGTAACTGTTTTGGTTTGGCTTGCTTGGATCGTTTTGGGTTGTGGGCTTTGGTGAATGGTGACCATTGTGGTCTTATCAAAGTCGATTTCTGATTCTGAATTTTCTCTGAAGTGTCCCATATCCGTGTTCTGGGGCAAAAATCCGAAGTACGAGGCGTACCCAGAAGAATGAAAAAAAATCAAAAACAAGACGAGCAGCTCAGTTCAGCTTCTCAGTAACTGCAAACACAAGCTGTCGGATGACGCTGTTTCTGATCCATGACGGCTTTCAAAGTTGCTTATGGGTGTCTACTGATTACCGAAAGGATAGTTTTTTCTCTATTTCTACATTAATTTTAATGCTCTACTTGCCGTTCGAACTTGAAATCTGGAAAGGAAATCTTCAATTTGATTTTTTTTTCTGTTTTTTTAATCAATAAACACTAACACGAAATTCCTTTGCCGACTTGCTGTAAATAACATTCGTCATAAAAAGGTTACGTATGTGAATAAATCGTTACTTAACTGTGATGTCAAAGTCCTCAATTTAGCAACATTCAACAATCTGATTTATTGTTTACCTTTGCATCAAATTGGTAATCTGAATTTTAAGTATTGCATATCTCTATCTCATCATTAGCATAGGTAGCATCTTTGACTACTAACGTGTGCATGCTACAGAGATGTTTATGGAGGCAAGATCATGAGTCGGTTGTCCTCCTCTAGATTCAAATCTCTATCTCACAATTGAGATTTATTTTTATGAATTATGTTCATATAAGATCACAAAAAATGCCTTGCATGCTACCACCTTTATTCTATATTAGAAGACAATTTAATACAAGAATAAATATATCAATAAAACTTAATAATGACAATTTACAAATTTACTCTTTAAAAACAAAAATATAAATCTTTAAAATATCCTTCAGTTATATAATTTAAAATCTATGTATACTTAATCATTACATTACATTATATTCATTTTAATTAATCATTACACTACACTATATTTATTTTTTGGAATTAATACTATTAATAAAATATTAGTTTTATCAAATCATATATTTTATGATAACAAAATACCTCTAAAATTATCTTACAATTTGTTACAAAGGAATATCATAATTCCAACACAACCATGGAGTCATTCCCCTAAGTTAATATCAACATCGCATCGAAAAACCCCAGGTCAGAGAATTAGTCGCACTGATGAATCATAAGCTTTAAATTTGATGAATCGCAATCCAGAGAGGATACTAAGGCCTTTTCGCAAGGGATAGAATCGGTACACCAAGGGATCTTAAAAAGGTCAGTATGAGACGGGGGGAAAAAAAATCCTGTACTGTGTATGACAGTACAACATGAACACGAAATGGCTACAGCGCATATCAGACAGAATTATGGCTTTCCAAAAACAAAAGAAAAAGAAATCTCAGTACTCTTTTAATTAAAGCCAAACGTAATTTCTCCAAGGCAAAACTGATCACTGCCCTCTGGCGTGAAGATTCTAAACAAGTTGTTGTTACGACTTATGACCAAGCCCTATTATCGACCTAGATTAGAAGTCACTTGCATTTCCCCCTCTTCCTTGCGCATCTTCAGACATTCACCAGGTTTGATAGATATTATCAGCTCGAAACATGGGAATAAATAGTAGGTGTCTTATACATTCGGTTTTGTTGAGATGGAATCTCTTTTTGGGCGGTGTTTCTTCCACTTCTTTTTGGCAGCTCCAGGAGCCAAGACGGAACGTCACAACCTGATGCTGCCATGAGATTAGCTATATTACGCAGCAAGGGCATGTCTCCTCCGAATAAAATGTTATAGCTTCTCCAGCCCTCCCTGCTCTGCCAGACCGACCTATTTGCAAACCAACATAATCAATCATTGCGGCAGAAATACTTTAATGAATACAGAGAGGTAGCAACCATGACCTTGCTCCGCGACAAAATTACAGAACTTTCAATCATCACCGTTCAACACTCGACGGAGGAGTTTGAGAAACCATGGTATCTTTGATATTACAATTAAACGATGGAGTTTAGTATGCTAATATATAATGAGAGGATAATATCTGATACAACACTAACATCACATCCAGCAAAAACTGGGTTATCTGGTAACATGTTATACTACGATATCTCACAACGTCATCCGTGTCATTAATTTTATAGGATCTTATACTATGTCATCTCATACCATAATGGGTATCAAACGCCCCCTAAATATTTCTTCAAAGAAAAAGTATCTGACTATAATAGCACGTACCAATCCTATGAATGTAAGCAGCAGCAGAATCTGGAAAATCATAGTTAATGACACACTTCACAGCTTTGAAATCCATGCCTCTAGCGACTACATCAGTGGCAATCAAAACCCATGTTTGCCAGCTCTGAATTATCAACAGCATCTTCTCGCTGCATGCAATTTTAGAGGTTAGCAAAAAAAAAAAATTAAATCCCAGTAACAATCATCAAGCCTCTTATGGTAGTCCAGCGCAGAGTGGTCAAGATGACCTAGAGCCCCAAAGGCACCCATCATTAGCATGAAGATAATACTGTTAGACTACCAAAATACTAACGGGTTAAAAAGCACTCGAAATATCAAAACACATGCCAGAGACGGATCCAAAGGGAGGCAAGCACCCCAAGGTACAAAAAATGGTTAAATTTACTTGGTTTTTCTTTGTTAAAATTGTTAAAATTAATTTTGCTCCCCACTATAATATAGTTTTGCATCATGGGCCTCCATAAAGCTGGTTCTAGATCCGTCCCTGCACATGCCACACAAAATGTGATGATTTATCATATTCATTTATTCCATGCAAATTATTACAGCTCACACACATGCACACATGTTTCCCCATTTTTTGCTTTAACTATCCTCCATATTTTACAGACAGAATGCAACTTTTTGTTCAAAGGGGCTAGAAACTACCTCCTTTTGAGACAAATCAGAATGGATAACACCAACTCTAAGGCTGTCAAATTCTAGTTCACCATAGAGTTCCTTTGCTCGCTCCTTGCTTTGGACAAAGACCAATACTGGGGGATTTAAACTCTAAAGGATGACCAGATAAAAAGTGAATCAACAAATGCCAGTGATAAGAAAATGGTAAGAATGGATCTAAAGAAGCAGCTCTACACTATCATATTATTTCAAGTTCCAAAGCATGTACTAGCATAATTATCATTTCAAACTAAATGCTCTTTAAAAGCACGATAAATTTTCTAACAAAAAACCCAGATGTTAATAGAATGTTTACACAAAATATATGCAGCAGCAGCAGAGCAGTAACTCTCACCCCAAGATAAAATAATAAGAAAAACACACAAATCATAAATAATTGTTCCGTTCATAATTTCTTGCCAAACAGAACAAATTAGACGTGTTTGGGGAGTTGGACTGCGCCCCAAACACACTCTCCATCATGTATAGCTTCAAAGGTGGAGCACAAATAACACTGACACCAAGCTCTGAGATCACGAAATTACATATTATATGCAAGAATAAACTGGGTTCCATAATAATAAATATCAGAGCTCAAAAAAGATGCTGCAACAGTCATGTGTGATATAGGGCTGTGATATGTAGTATGAGCAATCTTGTAACACGTAGTCCTATATGTAAGCGTTTTGATCACAAACATTCAAATTATAGCATAATACCTCTGCAAAGCTTTGGCGAATTGCCAAAAGTTTTCCTTCTTCACTTCCAGTAAAGACTAATTTTTGTTTTATTGTTTCAGATGCCCATATTCCTGATTGACACGAAAAAAAGAAGGCATTAATGAAAAACAGTGGACTGGGATTGTATGTGCTATGGTTCTGTAAAGACCTGCACCAATCTTACTTTCTACCAACAATAACTCTAACCGCATCATGCATAAGCTCCCGAGCACGATCCTCAACAGAATCAGGCAAAGTGGCACTGAAAAGTGAACGTATTATTGAAGGGTTTGAACATGCTTGGATAACAGAATCAATCTGTTCAAATAACCCAAGCTCAAAGAGCTTATCAGATTCATCCAGGACAAGATACTCAACTCTGCATAGCAACCGAAGATGAAGAGAAAGTATATCAATGGCAGAGCAAAAACAATTACTGGTATCTCAGACACAACATAAGATACAGTTAATGATATCATTGCCAGAGTATAAATGCTTAAAAATAAAACCATATAGGTACCTGGCCTTAAGCTTAATTAACAACAATTGAACAATAAATGCTTAACCATTTAATTCCTATAATTAAAAATGTGTGTATTCAATTTTATATTAAATTATAAAATGCCTAATGAGTCTCCTCGCTAATGAAAATGTTTTTGCTTTTAGAAATGTTGTCATGCCACCAATTTCCCATTGGCATTAGGGGAACTTAAATAAATAAGTGTTCCAGACTAGAGGTTTTGATTCTATTCATGCAGAAGATTCTCTTATCGATCATTTGTGATGGCCATAACCACAGCATCTGGTAGGCATAGCAGCTATAAAAGGTCTATCAACCTCAATAGGAACTTGTCCACCAAATTCATAATCCCTTACAAAGCCAATAACTTGTCAGTCTGGGTTCAAATGGCTTCCAGAGATTAACTTATCAGTCAATGAAGAATTTCACAGATTAAGACTTAGATCATACCATCTTCTATAAAGATCTGTATTTCAATTTCAAACATTTAAAGTCATCTCAACTCCAGAAGACTGAAAATATTATTATCACATACCTGCTGAGGTCAACCTTTTTCCTCCGATTGCCAAGTGCAATCGAAGGGGGTGGATATAAGTATATCACATGCAAATTTAGAAAAATCACCATTTCTCGCTAGCTCTTTAGTCATCAACTTAATACGGATTCTTTTTCTTTTTCCTTACCAGCTTCTTGCACTCTCTATAAGTTGGGAAGATAATTCACGAGTGGGACAAAGGATAACAGCTCGAATACCATTTTTTGAAGGATCCGTGAATGAAAGTTGATCACATAAACAAAGGGCATGGGAACTGAAAATACAAACTAAAGGGTTAAGCCAACCTTAAGCTTTATAAGCATAGGACACACAAACGCCAGGGTTTTTCCAGAGCCAGTTGAGCACAGGCAAAACATTCACGATCTGACCACAAATTATCAGGAAGAAAATAAGGGGAAAAATACCTCAATAAAAGCACAGGGAACTTAAATAGAAATTCCTTACCTGTAAAAGAACAGGAATAGCCTGTCTTTGGATTGGTGTTGGTTCTCTGAATCCAAGTTCTGCCAGATTGCGTAACAAGTATGGTTCACATTTATATCTGCCAGCAATTTATTTAGAATATAAAACACAGTAATTTTATAATGATGAAGCATAATCAGAATAAACAATTACACACAGACAGGCTGGTTGCAGCATTCAAGATAGACCGTCTAAATCAAAATGTCATATCCTTAAGATATAAACAGAAAAAGAAAAGAATATCAATTTATGCATCAGCAGCCAAGTCAGATGGTATGTGAAGAATATTTGTAAACAATATTTAGTCTGCTGGAAAATTTGCTTCCATAAATGGGATAGCATCAGAAGACACAAAAGTTGGGACAAAGTATTCTATAGTCATGTGACAAGTGCAATTATCATATAGACACATATACACAGAATGACAGAAGATTGAGAATACCTTGAGCTCAACTCCTCAAAATTTTGAAGGGGGGACGGTACATTGTACCCAGACACATGAATGTTGTGCCTCTTCCTAAATAGAGCATCCCGCTGGGCATAGAAAGCAACAAGAATCAGTATATAATAGGAGTAAGTAAAAACCAAAATAATAAAAATATTTTTTTGACGGGACAGGAAGGAAAACAGAACCTCAAGTTGCCTATTTTGTTCTTTGGTCTGCTGAACGGACTCGACCACATCTTTATCTTCATCTTTAGATTGAAGTATCACAGATTTGGACTTCTTAAAGACATTGAATCCCTCAACTGTTTCTGTTCTTGTTTAGTTTTCCCAACAGAAACGAGTAGAAATAAGATAAAAGTTCACCAATGAGTATACTAATCCAGAAGCGCAGAGAGGAATATTACCTGAAACCACTCCCTTCCACTTCCTCTTCTTGGCAGGCGATTTTCCATCAACTGGTTCTGTTTTTTTAATTTCAACAGAGCTCGAAACCTTGATGGAATGATCTTTTCATTTTTCTTTCGGGAAAAATGTAGATATCAGTAAAAATAAACACTCGAAGCACGAAGAGAGTACATTACACACCAGAATCTCAAAGGGAAAGAAAACCTCAAAAGCAAACAAAAGAAGAAAGATAATTCTCACCTCGAACTTAGCTATATCACTGCCGAACTTTTTCTATCGAAGCGAATGCCGGAAAACAAAAAAGAGGAGCCGTTGGTCATTCTTCGAAGACAAGAAGGCTCGTTCGATGCGACCAAACTCACTTTTAGGGATTTCGCCCCGCCAAACACCGCCGCCGCCGCCGTGATAATGTGAGCCACACTCAAAATTTATTTATTTATTTACCCCTCCTTCCGTACTAGGTGTGTTTTATTAATAATTATCATTATTATTTTATTCAAGTAGGAGAAGGAGCTGGCTCTGGTTCCCTGGCTGAACGTGTGAACTGGGCGCTTTGAGTGTGTTTAGTTGGTTTTTATCATACTTCTTTCAGTACTGTTTATAAAATTAAAAAAAAATTAATCTTATTTATACATATATTATTAAATTTTTATTACAGATTTTTATTTTACTTTTCATTAAATATTAGAAAAAAAAATATGTTATTAAAATATATATATTTAATAAGAATAAAATTAATAATTATTAAATTTTAAAATAGAATTAATAAGTTTTAAAATATTTTTAATATTAATGAAATATATTAGAAGTGGTTTATAAATAAAATTAAAAAAAATATTTTTTATTCAAGTAGAAGAGGCCTCCCATTTTGAAGACAGTGAATTGAAGTCGTTGAGCTGAATTCTCCACCACATTTATTTTGTTTCTTCTTCATCTTCTTCTTGGGTGGGTCTCTAACATTTATTTTTTTACATAAAATATTATTTAATTGTTTTAATTTCTGTTACACACACATATTCAGTTGTAAAATCATATTTTATACAAGAAACAATCAAAAATTTAAATTAATATAGAGAATATAATAGTAAATTAGTTGTCATCCTTACTCTCCTCTAATTTAGCCAAACGAGGAAAGATGAGAAACTTGTTGGGCAACCTGTTCTAAAAGTTGTTTTTTGTGCTCTAGAATAAAAAAAATATCTATTTAATAACATATTTTTAAAAAAACATGTTGAAAAAAAAAATCAAATAATGTTTTAGAGGATAGAAAAATGAAAACATATTTTAAATATTGTGAGATTATTGTGTTTAGAAAATAAAAAGAATGTGGAAAACGCTTGTTTTTATTATTTTTTTTCTTATAACATGTTCTACAAAAATATCAATTTTTAAAATAATACAATAAAAATAATTTCAAATAAGTTAAAATACTCATGCTCCCTTCCTTTGAACCAAACATAATGTTAAAATTATTGTTGGACTTGACCCGTAACCCTCTTTTTCGGCAAAGAAAAAGAGAGTCCATACTAATATTTGATGATTATGGGCTTATATAAACTAAACGTTTAGGGTTTAGGGATTAATCTTGTATCCCCAACTCTTCTTCTTTCGGCCTCAACTCAGCTTTTCAATGAACGAAGTTTGATAATTTCACTTGAGAAACTTTGCTTCCCGTGTGTTCGCAATACGCACAGAGATATGCATGTAATTTTGATTCGGTAGCTGTAATTATTGATTAGATCTTCTCTTCGAACCTCGCTTTTTGCTTCAGCACATTGATCCACAGGCTCCAGGTCAACATTTCTGCCCAGCCATAATTACATCGGCTATTTCAAATAAAAAAGTCCCGTAAACTGTCAATCGAATTAATAAGGGTCAAAGATCTGAAATACCCAGGAAAAAATATCATTTTAACGGCCGCGATGTTATCATCTGGAAGTAACCATGCAACATTTCTTTCTTTGGCCATCGTATCCAAGCTACACATTGAATTTTAGAGAAATCCAAATCCTCAAATTCAATACCAATAAAGAGGAGAAATGCTTGCCCATGGTGGGAAAACTCAAGACACTACATTCACCCGGAACCAAAATTTACATTTCCAGTACGTTAATATATTCTCACAAAAAAAAGCCACAAGGCTGCAAACCCAGAAGTCCGTGACAGCTTCATCAAACATGTCCACCCCAGATAAAGTTCCACCTAGTCTTGGATGAAAAATAGCAAGTAAGGTCGGTAGTGTAACTAATTATAATCTGGACGGACCATGAACCAAGTATACCGCTGTAAGACCAGGGATCGGTCGCTAATCCTGACAACACCGATCAACTAGTCATCAAGTCCGTAGTCCTCTCCAAAATACTTGTCAACTAGACTATTTGCCATGGTTCTCAGATCTTCATTTTCATGAAATTGAAATCTTTCCATGGCTTCAATCCCATCTTCTTGTTCTACAAGCTTGGGTCCCCCGCCGCCTGGCATCCCCCTCAGGACCTACAAACATGAGTAAACCATTAAGAGATCGCAACAGCAATATCAAAATTGAAGAACTTGATATTCGAACTGATAGGCTCAATTTAGTAAGATCAAACCAAGTGAAGTAATAACCCAAACAAAAGCTACAGGTTATCATTTGATGCAACAATCTCAATTTCTTACCAGCTCTATGAATTGAAGTCCTAACCTAGCAGCCTCAATATCAGCAGATCTAACCAAATCGATATAGCCAGGCAAACATCCTCTTTCGACAAGAGGAACCAAGTGGTCCAGGATCAGACTCGGTCTCTCACCACTTTCACCTTTAGATGGCGCAACACAAAGGTTGCCCAATACATACGCTGCTTCCTTTCTTATATCAAATGGTGCTGCAGAAAGAAGGCGCAATAGCAAAGGCATTGCCTCACTGGAAAATATTAGCTGCTTGTGCTCAACAGAACCTGCAGCTATATTAGACAAACACCCATGCTGCTTCCTGCATAGATAGCAAAGTTCACATCAAATTAGTCTGAAGTTAGATCATAGAACTAAAGATTAAAAAAAACTATACCTTTTTTAAGACCCTGTGCTCACTTTTTCAGACACTTCACTAGCACTTCAATGACATTATCTGAAAATGCCATTATGCCATCAAATGCAAGAAAGTCACAGCCTTGTGATGAAATGCGCCTTTTAGACTAGGAAAATACAAGTTTTTTTTTTCTTTTTTTGGGGGCCTGAAATATAATAGCCAAGATTAACTAACCTGTAATTTCACGTCCTGGGACAATAACAGCATAATTGTAATGGAATCGCCAGCAATTATATTACCTAAACACCGCAAAACCTAGATATATTTCTCATTATTGATATACAGAACAGATAAAAAATCTGCAAACAAAAATATATATATATATACTGACATAGAGTGTTAAACTTTTTAACCAGGCAAAGAACTAATGGAGATCAGTACCGGAATCAGTAATGCAAACTGCTTGATGCTGACAACCTGTTTACAAGCAACTGAAGTACATCACTCTTCACCAGCATACTAGTAGCTACATTTGATAGTGCTGATAGATAACAATTACCCAGGCAACTTCTGTAGCTAGTTCATCGTCCCTGAAATTGATAAGGAAATTAATTTTACAACAATTAGAGGAGGCCATTGGACATACATAATTGATGAGTATAAGACCTGATTATCTTCGGTAATACTTCCAGGAAATAATCTTTCCGTAGAATCAAAATACTGAAAGAGGGTTTGCAATTTGCATTACCACCATTTCAGAATTCTTCAAGCCTACAAGCCTATATAGGAAAAGTGAACTTTATGTTTAGAATATTTATAGCCTTGTAGGCACACAGCTTTCAGTGTTAATCAATTTTTTTGTTAAAATCATGTGTAATATTTAAAAAAGTTTCATCAAGGGGAGATACAGCTGAGCACATAGGAAAGCGTTCTTCCCTAAGCAACAAGTGCTGACTAAGAAATTAAGTTTGGACTACATATCACACTTGTTTACAACATAATATGATTATAAAGAATTTTAAGAACAAATTGGCAGATTAGAGAGGGAATTTTGAGTTGATTCATTTGTACTTTTCTGGTTTCTAGGTGGCTTCATTTTGTGCATATTTTCCAGCAAGTTTTGTTTATAAATTTCTGATTCATAAAAGCATATAAACTAGTGTAATTACATTCCAACATTGAGTATCCCTTAAATCTAAGTGGGATGAAATATAGAAACTCCTAACACTGACAAGTAAATGCATATCAAGTTAGTCCAAAAATATTTTTGCAAATAATATATGCACAAAATTAATATTATCAAAAGTATGTATTGTATCTTTATTATGGTAAACGAGAAAATATAATACAATCAAATCTACCAACGCAGTAAAACTTTAAACAAGGAAAAATTAACAGTATTCCATGCACCATAAAACTAGCATGTACTATGTTTACAAGTAATTAAGGATGCAGGTGTGAAGCAAGCCAAAGTCCATTGCAGCACCAAGACCTCTGGGCAGAAATACTAAAAGTAGTTCCAAAGCAAAGTAAGTCTTACGCTTTTTTCAAATGACGGATTAATGCATCCAATACTCCATCAACATGGATGAGTTCTGATGCAGCCTTAGGATCTGGGCCCTACATGCAAACAAGCTCGAGTCATGATATATTTTCAAGGACCATAAAAACAACGCTGCAAATGCGCATGCACTTGCACATGATAATGCAGAACATCCCTGAGAAATTTTGACCATGATTGACAAGCAAACACAGTAGCAAAACAGATATAGATTGTCAGGAAAAAAAAAAACTAATATTTAACAACGATAAAAAAAGGCCAACCACAAATTACACGTTACACAGCTTATTCTATTGATAGATTTGCAACCTTTATTAAATTGGACAAAGCCCAGGCAGCTGTTCTCACGGTTGATCCTTTGTTGGCAGCATCATTCTTGCAAGAGGTAGTAATGCCCCTGAGCAAGCAGAACATTTCTCAACTCCTCACCTTCACCAGCCACATTTCCTAGTGCCCAAGCACACTGTTCAGCAACAGGCAAGGAGCTCTTTTCTGCAGGAAACGTGCAATCATGAGCTTGTATGGTAGCCATAAAGGCTAAAAAGATTATGACAATCTCAGCCTTCAAGAATAACTTCTAAATTAAATATATCATATTTACTATAAATACAAGAGATTGATTATTAGTCAAGATAAAGTAGCAAAACTTAGAAGCATATTGCAGTTATATATATGTGCTGGCTTGAACAGGACCGTTGATAGAAGACCAGCTCCCTAATTACTTACAAGTTAATCTTCAAATTGCCGATATTTCAGTTGCATATGCGATGTTAGAACATTTAAAATAAAGCATAGTGGCTTTTATTTTCACGGAACATGATTCTCACAAGATACTTGGCACTTAAGAAACTCCGTAGAAAGTCATGTACATCATAGTAGGTTCACACTTTTAACACTGTATCAAGACTCATGGAGATAGAGAAAGTGCAACCACATCTAAGCTTCTTCCAACCCTTTTCCCACCAAAGTCTGCTGAGCAGTGATTCTTTGATTTCTTCAATTCTAATTTACGTGACCATGAAGCCTTTCCAGAATAAGAACTTATATTCTCTCATAGCAAACAAAATTTTATCCCATTACATCATCAGCTGATACTGGACTAACATTTCCCACTATCCTCTAGATATTATAGATGCTTCGACAAAGAAGCCAGTAACTTTTTTTCTGGATAAAAGGAGGTTTTAAGAATTTCTCTTAATCCTGATGTTCAAATATCAATTGATAAATGACTGCTTCTCTTGATATGCAAAGGAAATCTAAAAGCATCACTAACCCCCCAGATGAGCAATAAGCAAAGGCAATGCAGGCAACAAAGCCTTGTTTCTTCTAGGTTTCCTGCTGCAATATTTGTAAGGCACCAAGCAGCCTCAAGCAGCTGCAGAAGAAAAACAATGAAAAAAATTAAATAATAACACAAATTTCCAACTAGTCCTAATAATATGCTTTAGGATTCCACATAATCTGTGTAGCGGACAAAGATATGTCTGGTCAAGTCTTTTGGTGAGTACGAAAGGTAGAAACAATTAAACATCGTTAGAATCAGCTATGAGTTGCCATTATTTCATGTAGCAGTGCGCATGTTGAATCACATGGTAAGATGAGTCTTTGAACCTGTTCATCTGGGGAACCAAATGAAAGACATTGAGCTAGTATGGATATTGCTCCAGCTTTGACAGCAGCCTCAACAGGAGGAAATTCAGATCTTGACAGCAAACGCCTTAGTTCTTGAAGGGCACTCACTCTTTTCTGCATTGCACCCTTCCCCCTATCAATTAAAGAACATAGTGAAATGCATATGCCAAATCAAATTAAAACTGAATCTACAGTTGACATAACTGAAGCCTTCTCAGTCTCTGTCAAAAATATGATCAAGACAATACTAGATATGAAACACATATGCGCTTGCCTCATAGAGGAAGGTTGAATCAGAAAGTATACAGAAAGAAAAGTACAGAGTATTGTTCATATGCATCATTTGAATTGTCAACATAACCATAAGAAATGAACCAGTTACAAGTGGCAAGAAAAAGAAACAATTGAGGTCAAATATATCTCCAATCCCAGAGTGAAAGGAACTGATTTTCAAGTCAAATCAAGAAATAATTCTTCCCATTGCTTCTATAAAAGCGCTGTATTTCCTTTTATTTTCCTCTTTTTAGTTGATGCATAAAACAAATTTGGAAGGCTTACTGATAAGCAACGGCAGACTTCAGTTCTTCGACTGCAATGAGGTTTGAGATTCCAAAATCGATTGTTCATCATCAATCATCATTTCATTATCAAGAGAAACCTCGCCATCACTACTAATGCCAACCCGACATAGCCGTTTAGCACGCACACTAATGATTCCCTTCTCTCTTTCCCAACTGTGATTGCATGTCGCCGTCTTCTATCGGCAGCAACATTCCCAACTGAAGTAAATAGTTCAATCTCATACAAGGGGAAAAATAGCAGCAAGGCCCAGATTATAAGATAATTATGGGAAGGTGCAGGTTTGCAAGACGATAAACAAAATAAAAATTGGTGATTGGGAGGTCCTACTTCCATTGGATTAATACTTCCTTGTGTTCATGCATTGAGGAAACACAATCACGTCAATATTCTAAAACTTAGTTAATGCAGCAAATTTCCAGCTAGGATCAACAAAAGCATTTATGCTCTTCACTCTCTGCGTGTTCCAGCCGGTTGCAGGGAAACAATGACATCGGTTTGCCCAGTTAACTGAGACCCAGTTAAAACTTCTGGGCTCCTTAAACTGTAATAAATCATTTATAAGAATCGAACGAATGACGTAACAACCATGATATTTCCAATATGTGTTCTTGTGGTCTAAATGAAAACCTAGAGCAGATAGAAACCATACCAGAGAGATTTATTAGAATCCCTTCTGTTATTGGCAAGCCGGGATCGGCCATGATTGAAAAAACCCCCAAACTGTTGCGGCAGAAAACCGTACTAGGAAGACGAACTGAGGTTTCCTTTCGGACCGCGGACGGCTTGAATTATTTTAGTTTCGGCCAGCTACCTACCGCGCATAACGATATGCATCGATTGTGCTGACACTTCTTGTTTTTTTCTTCTTTTTTTTTTGGGGGGGGGGGGTTTTGGTTTGGGGCGCCAGGTTGAAATAAAACAAGATTTATCTTACATGAGTAATCACGGATTCACGGTTAGACATGCTTTAATTTTTTTTTAACCAGTTTTTTAAAATATTGATAAGATGTATTACCCATGAGGCAATGTATACTAATAAGTTATTTTTAATTTTAATAATAACTTGTTTTTTTTAAAAATTATTATTTTTTAATAAACAAAAATATAAATATTTATTTTATTTATGATTTTGTTATGTGTGGACAAATTAAAACGTAATTTGAAAATTACAATCCGTTGTGGATGGAAACTGTTACAGAGGTATGGTCGGGGCTTAGGAAGCGCAAAGAAAAAAAATGGCCTCTTTGTTTAATAGTAGGGGAAGAAAAATATCATAAGTCAGGCTGGAAAGGCTACACCTGTATCTTGTCCTTACAGTGGTAAAAATTGCGGACTTTTTTTTCTAGTTCTGCTCGTCTTGGTTTTTTTTTTTTTTTATCACAGTGAAAAAAGTATGGAGCTTCAAGGAAATGCCACGTGGTCTGGGTGTTCATAGCTATAGTATTAAGCACGCACAGTTTGACAAGTAGAAGCCTCAGTACTTCAGGTGAATAAAGACTCGCTACCATGTCTTCCATTCAAGATTTCACATCGTCTTGTGGAATTATATTACTGGCGATGTCGTTAAAAAATTCGTTTCTGGCTTTGCTGTATCACCTTTCTCGTATCATATATATTTTACCCAGTTTAATTAATGCTTCAGGTAGGATAAAATATAAATCGAGCGTGTAAGCATGCTCTGTAACGAGGTCAAACGCATTGTCTGCCAGTGTAACTCAACCTTTAAGGTTGAGCAAGAAAAATATATAATTTTCCTTTTCACAGCGGGTTGAGCAAGTACTTGTGCAGTGAAAGTTTCAGATTAAGGTTTTCATGCTTGCCATAGACGACCCAGGATTTGGATTGCTCTTAATCCCAAGGCGTATTGGCATCAAAACAGGGCCAGAAACCTAACCGCTTGCCGATTGTGTATGAGAAGGACGCTTCAAACATTGAGCACTAAAGGGCTGCGCCACCGTGCCTTATTGAGCTGCCTCTTATTGTAGGCCTTGTTCTATTTTCTCTTGAGAGCCATAGTTCCAATAATATAGCTTTTTAGTTTTCCTTCCCGCTGAGGTTGCAAGTATCTTCACTATTGCAATGAAGGAATTGAGCTCTTCAATAAAAGCCGTCTATCCAAGATTTATCTATTAGATGGTGTCATGGTGAAACTTAGTCAGGCAATGACCCAGAGGGTGTCAGGGTTTGGGCTAGACTTCAACCTTAAAGACCGAGTCAAAGTAGTCAGTTGTAGGGGTAAAAGGAATCTTGTGCATATGCAGATATATATTTATTATATTATATTCAAGGTTATCAGAACGGGACTGGCCAATTCTACTAGGAACCAGCCAGGCAATCAGTCTGAAAACAAGGCAAGGCAAGGGAGAGAGAATCCGTGGTGAACCGTCCAAACCGCCTTGAATCAAGTAAGATCAAATGAACCTACAGTTCATACTTACTCATTAATTTATTTATAAATTATTTTAATATATTTATTAATATTAAAAAAGTTAAAAATTTATTAACTTTATCTTAAAATTTAATAAATTTTAACTTTACTTTAGAAATATATATATTTTCTCTCTAACGTTTAACAAAAGGTGTAAAACAAATTTATATAAAAATTTAATAACGTGATTTATAAATTAAATAAAAAAAGTTAAAAAAATTAATCTTTTAATCCTTTAACTTTTAACTCATTTGTAACTCAGTTTTTCAACTATGACTCGCTGTGACTCAGTCCTCAACGATGATCGCCTATAATTCAGTCCCTAACTTTTAAATAACTTACAAATTAATTCCTGAACTTTTGTGAATTTTTTTTCATGTTAGCTTATATCTCACATCAATGAGTAAGAGGAGGATATTTTAAAATAATATATTAACATTTTTTATTCCTCTTATTTGATAAAAAATTTTAAAAAAAATTAAAAAATAAGGATGAATTATAGGTGAATCAAAAGTTGAGAGATTGAGTCGCAGTGAGTCATAATTTGAGGGACTGAGTCAAGCGAATCATAGTTGAGAGATTGAGTTACAAATAAGTTAAAAATTGAAGATTAAAAGATTAATTTTTTTTAAAAATTTTCTCCTCTCCTAATAAATAGAATTATAGGGAGTAATTGTTTCCCTCTTTGCCGATTTGCTAAGACGATGCCTTTTTTTGTTTGGTTTTTTAAATTTCTATTTCCTGAACGCAGAAGGACGAACGGCTCTTGCTCTCTTTTCTTTCAGTCACGCACTCAGGCCCTAGCCCATGATTCCCAATTTGCCTTTGCTCTCTTCAGTCTTCACATCGACACTTCCACCTCCATCTTGCGACTGCAGCCATGTTCTTCGTTCTTCAAAGGTCGTCCTCGTACCTCGCAGTCTTCTTACTTCTCAGTCAATCACGTCCCTGCTTCCATGCTTCGTTCATTTGCTTGCTTCAAGTGGGCATTCATTTGAGTTGTGTGCGTGCGTTGCTCTGAAAGTCTGAATCTGCCAAGTTGTGCTTGCATACTTTGTCTGCAATGCGTCCTTCATATCCTTTGAGCTTTGCGCGTGCTTCTTTGAATCCTCAAACTCACAGGTCAGGCCTTCATGCATCATTCTTTGTTGTCGGCTTCTTGCTTCTCTTCTCGATCAGTGATTATTCCCCTATTTCAAAATCACTGGATACAATAAGAATTGAAGAAGATGTTTGTGATCCCCAGCATAATTTCTTGGAATTTAATTTGAAAGACCTTGATGACAACTGAATGTTAATTTTTATACTCGAATGTGGACTATACGAAACCTATTGCGCGTTTCATTATCATCTTAGGACTTTGGACTTCCGTCTTGGTTATATTAGACCTTATTTGTATCATGGCGTGTACTTGAACTATGTGATGCGCTTTAATAGGCTGTGTTTGTTTGACTGTTAAAGCATGGATTAATAATCATAATTTCTTGAGTTTAATTATAATTTTTACTATATAATATTCAAAACATATTAAACTATGTTACGCTATAAACGTTTCCAGTTAGACTATTAAATTGTGAACAAATGCCTCCTCTCTTCACTGCCCAGTTCAATTCTGAAAACATTGCGTGTGCCTGAAGGGCCCAGATGTCAACGAGCTGAAAGCCTGAAGGCATAGAAAGTTTCACATGCAGAGCAAAAAAGGCAAGTCAGGAGGCAGTCAAAGCTAGTGGCTGGGCGTGATGTGGTATGGGTATGGTTTCTTTTGGTAAATAATGATTTTTAAAATGTCAAGAATCAGTGTAACTGTCGGTGGCGGTTGCCTCTGCTCAAATATAACTATAGAAGCTGTCATCCCAGTCACATGAAGTGGTCATGTACTGTGGGGAAGTGGGAACATGTGAATTCGAGAACATGGATTTTGACGGTGAAGCAAATTTTCAAAGTTTAAGGAAAGGGCACTGGAACACATTGTTGACTTTTTGGCCTTGTTGCTGGGAGGTTCGGGGGTTCCAGGCCAATGGATGGAAAACCCATCGATGACTAGGCTGACTGAGAAACTGGTGGCCTGACTCACCAAAAAGAGTTAGGTCACGGAAAAGCCCCGATCTTCGCTAAAATCAGTGTGCTGCTCTGAGATTTTGTGGGTGTCTTCAAGTACGATGAGGTCAGGATGAAAAAAACAACAAAACATGCTCCAAATCCTAGGTGGAGCATGTTGGTTCGCTGTTGGTGGGACTGGCTAGGGAGGGGCGAGGTTATGGTGCAATTTCGAAGGACTGCCATTTCAGTTTTCACCCAATTTTATGAAGTTTTTTACCTCAATCCTCTCATGTGATTTCAAGAAACTCTTAGAAAATTAAACAAAACATTATATAAAATTAAAATATTTAAAAATATAGTCTCGACGAAAAAAAAAAGAGAAAGAACATATTTATCGGAAATTGAATTTAATTCGATGAAAATCCATAGGTATTTGAAAAGTATAAAATTTTCAAATAAAGAAGGGAGTGATTCCAGCTAATGCGTGAATCTGGAAAATGCGATGATGGGACAAAATAATAAAAACTTTTGTCTTTTATGGCTGTTCTGACGCCCCATGAGGACGTTTTCTTGCCCAGGAGATGCACATTCGAACAAGCTGGACTCTATAATGGCTGAATCCAACAACGACTCTAACAACGAAAATAGATAGATAATGGAGGAGCGCGGGGCAGAAGAGGAATTGAATGAGAAGACATTAGTTACCACGAATAAAAGAATAAAGTATTGTGACTCGGGAGGGCGATCAATTCCAATAGGAGACAGAGTTCCATAAATGAGAGTGCGTTGGTGATTTTTCAATCACAAAAATAGCAGTTTCCTCATCATATTGATACTGAAAGTCATCGCAGGCTGGGCATTCATTAATATATGGACAAACAGAGGATCAATCAATGCTGTCAAATCCATGTCCACCCCCTTTTTCCGAACACTCTTTCAGTTTTACTATTTTCCTTTCACTGCTGCTACTGGATCTCAACTCCTTAACAAATTAGTTAGAGTAATAAAATTATTTTAAAAATAAATTATTTTTTGATTTTATTATTAAAATTAAATGATTTACTATATGAAAATATTTTTTAAAAAAAATAAAAATGTTATATTTCTTTTTAAAATTTATAAGAGGATGGTTTTAGAGTTGTATATAAAAATTAAAAAAATAAGATACTCAAGCAAGTTGGGTCTCTATCTTTCATCGATCCACCTTTCATCGACACGTAACGGTTAGGAATGCCCTCGATCTCTGATCGACGATCTAGCGGCTACCAACTTCAATTTCCATAATAAAAACGAGATCAACGGGTGTCATTGCTTCATGGCGCGTGTTTTACCCTCACTTACCTGTCATGTTTTATCTGGTGCTCTCTAGCCACGTCCCTGAAAATAGAGTCAGTGACCTCGA